ACATCCTTTTGAAGTAACGTGACCAAATCACCAGGAGGTTGACTGCTCGACAGACGTTGTGCCGGCCTCACAAGGCTCAAGTGAACCACACCTCGTTAGTGGCTGCAATATCTTTCGGATTATTGCTGTGATAAGGAATCTATGAAAAAATACTTCTATCATTTTTTCGCGTTCTTTCATGTCGACCGACAGTATTCATTCCTTTCTACTATCACTGTAGAGAGTCTAATGGTAAGCGATAATGGATTACGTACTAAAATTTTCATGGTGCTGTTACCAGCAATCCAATCAAGGGTTCGCTTAAACAACGAGAAGAACAAACAAGGAGATCGTGGATGTCGTGGAGATCACAACTCTTTTTCTTCTTTGCAATGCGAATATGTGATACTGTAGCTATAGTGAATGTTTTGGAAAGTTGCTCGCACGAAAGCCATGGGAAAGCTCGCGGCAACGCGCTTATCTTATAACCTCTATAAGCGCGTATAAAAGCGCTCAACGAACACTTCAAGGGTCAGAGTCTTTTGTAGTCGCTCTTCCAGAGCAGTTGCCTTAGAGCTAGCTTAATCGCTAGCTTTATAAGCTTTCCATACTTCTTCAACCTTCGAGTCCAATTTCAGGTACCTTGCAAGTTCGGTAGTTTGGGTTAAGTTCCTTTAGGATTGTGTCAACTTATAGCGACTACTAGCTTTGTCGTTGTAATTGTTGCTCTTGACATGAAAAGAATCAGTTGGAGGTATGCTGTTCGTGCGGCAAGATATTCTGCGTGACACCGAAGGGTTTTGGCGAGCTATGTTGCGAGCAGCCCCCAGCTACAGTGGAGATCATAAGCTGTATGGACATCTTCTCACTTTGTCCGGTGATGCTGGAGTATCAAATGGTATCTATGAGCACGCTGTGCAATGATGATAATGCCCAAGCCATTTGTTGAAGGAGCGGCGAGGAGTTCTGGGGCTGTAAAATTGACCAGGAGACGAAGCCGGAATAGAGCCAGCCAAGTTAAGTAAACTCTGAATTGAAAAAGTAGAAGCCATCGCGACTTCCAGTTCCAGGCATTTTGGGAATATTCGATGCATAAGGGCTCAAGCGCAGAGTCGAAAGACAGTAGACGGTTGCATGGTTTGTGACTCGGTGCCATCCCACCCTCCCATAAATTGAGGCTATTTCGCAGGGAGACATTGTGACGTAGAGCACATAAGGCTTTCGAATCGACGACAAACACTTTCATTTTAGCACTGCCCCTTCTATTATATAAGCATAATGGTTCCCACACCTCAGATGTAGCTGCTTTCCCCTGCGGAAACTGGAATTCGTTGCAGTGCCGATGCCGCCAATCCCTTGCGGTGTGTGTGTGTTGTGTGTCTGACCGGAAATTCATAACTTCGTTCCCTTTGATCCCAGAGCGCTCAAACTTCTAGGGTATATAGGGGGTCGGGGTGAACACTGATGATGGGTGGCGGAAAGTGATAAGTACTGATAGAAGCTGATAACGGGCGTCAGAATGCCGATGTCACCAACTTCCTTACGCCGTTCGCGTTGGCAGTGGACTTGCTAGCACTCATGAATATTGTGTAGGGTAGGACTGGGACCCAAATGGTGAGCGAAGGAAAGTGATAGCAAATGATAAGGGCTGATAAGGGGCATCGGAATGCTGACGTCGTCAGTTTCGCAACGCCCTTTGCGTTGATCCTAAGATGTTCGCACTCATGAATATTATGTGGGGTGAGGCAGGGACCAAAAGGGTGATCGGAAGAAGGTGGTAACAACTGATTAGAACTGATAAGGGGCGTCAAAGTGTGGATACCACCAGTTTCGTTGCGGCCTTCGTGGTGACAGTAAATATTAGCTCCTACACGCTACAAGGTGGGACGGAGATACGGTGAATGTGGGTGACAGTTAGTGGTATGGCGGCAACTGTACTGATAAAAGTGCGACAGTTAAGCGTGCCTTCAGTTTAGCTGAACCAGATTCCTAGCACGGGAATATGTTCCATTTCCACCCTTTCGTCTAAAAAAGCAAAGGAAGTTGAGCTGCTCCACTATCTGGACTTGGACTAATAGCGAATAAAATCATATTTCCAATTTCCATCATCGATTGATGCTGATTGATTGGTTATATTCCACTTACACACCGATTCTTCAATTGTGGGAATTCTATAAACCGCTAAATCGCCCGAGCTCGATATCAATGCTAAATGTTTACGAAGTCATGATAAGTACCATTCTCATTCCGCATGCTACTGCGCGCATTACGCGACAATCTTCAGCGAAACTGGACAACCTTTAAACATCATGTGACACATCTTCCAAAACATCTTACTGTTAGTTTCTCAGTCACGTGACCTAATATTCTGCAAGTTGTCCAGTTTCACTAAAGCCCACCATTTGATGCGCGCGGTTGCGTGCGGAGCTAAACTGGTATAATTTATATGGAATCCGCTCGATTTAGCGGTCTAACCTGTCCTGTTGCTAGTAGCATTGAAGTGGTAAAAAGTGATCATTCGCTGCGCATCTGATACTTGTGTCATTCTTTGGAAATTGTACAGTTCATCGGTCAATGAACACTGCTTCTCTTGTATAGGTTCAGGGACGAAAGTGTCCATTTACTGAGCACCTAGTATTTCAGGTCATCCACTCTCTGTGTTCCCTTCCAACTCCGATAATATCTGTAAGAACCAACGTCCCACCATAGCTGTGACACGTGCTATGAATTTCGTAAGACACACGCAAACAGACAGACAGCGTTTCATATATGATATGGAGAATGCCAGAGAGGGACTTCGTAGAACGAGGTGAATAGTCTACCATAACCTGCCGAACTGTTTCACTTACTTTGGATCAAGCTCTTTGTGGTCAGTACACTTTGGTTAGTAAGCGCCAGTGAGCGTGGTTTACCTGCAGATTAATTGAAAACAAACGCACTCAGATGATATTTAAAGATGTCTGTGAGTTTGTCTGAAGCGTAGCTGTAGCTAATGAAATGGGCTTTTCACTGTGTCTTTAGGAGGGACCATACAATTTCGGCACTTCGACTAATTTTGTGATCTGTGGCTTGATTTGTCACTTGTCGCTGTGTGAATTTTATTATAGAATTGTGCAGATCCTGAAAGTGTTTGTTATGGTCTCGCAACTCAAAGACTCACATCCTTTTGAAGTAACGTGACCAAATCACCAGGAGGTTGACTGCTCGACAGACGTTGTGCCGGCCTCACAAGGCTCAAGTGAACCACACCTCGTTAGTGGCTGCAATATCTTTCGGATTATTGCTGTGATAAGGAATCTATGAAAAAATACTTCTATCATTTTTTCGCGTTCTTTCATGTCGACCGACAGTATTCATTCCTTTCTACTATCACTGTAGAGAGTCTAATGGTAAGCGATAATGGATTACGTACTAAAATTTTCATGGTGCTGTTACCAGCAATCCAATCAAGGGTTCGCTTAAACAACGAGAAGAACAAACAAGGAGATCGTGGATGTCGTGGAGATCACAACTCTTTTTCTTCTTTGCAATGCGAATATGTGATACTGTAGCTATAGTGAATGTTTTGGAAAGTTGCTCGCACGAAAGCCATGGGAAAGCTCGCGGCAACGCGCTTATCTTATAACCTCTATAAGCGCGTATAAAAGCGCTCAACGAACACTTCAAGGGTCAGAGTCTTTTGTAGTCCCTCTTCCAGAGCAGTTGCCTTAGAGCTAGCTTAATCGCTAGCTTTTTAAGCTTTCCATACTTCTTCAACCTTCGAGTCCAATTTCAGGTACCTTGCAAGTTCGGTAGTTTGGGTTAAGTTCCTTTAGGATTGTGTCAACTTATAGCGACTACTAGCTTTGTCGTTGTAATTGTTGCTCTTGACATGAAAAGAATCAGTTGGAGGTATGCTGTTCGTGCGGCAAGATATTCTGCGTGACACCGAAGGGTTTTGGCGAGCTATGTTGAGAGCAGCCCCCAGCTACAGTGGAGATCATAAGCTGTATGGACATCTTCTCACTTTGTCCGGTGATGCTGGAGTATCAAATGGTATCTATGAGCACGCTGTGCAATGATGATAAAATGCCCAAGCCTATTTGTTGAGGAGCGGCGAGGAGTTCTGGGGCTGTAAAATTGACCAGGAGACGAAGCCGGAATAGAGCCAGCCAAGTTAAGTAAACTCTGAATTGAAAAAGTAGAAGCCATCGCGGCTTCCAGTTCCAGGCATTTTGGGAATATTCGATGCATAAGGGCTCAAGCGCAGAGTCGAAAGACAGTAGACGGTTGCATGGTTTGTGACTCGGTGCCATCCCACCCCACCTCCCTATAAATTGAGGACTATTTTCGCAGGAAGACATTGTGACGTAGAGCACATAAGGCTTTCGAATCGACGACAAACACTTTCATTTTAGCACTGCCCCCTTCTATTATATAAGCATAATGGTTCCCACACACTCAGATGTAGCTGCTTTCCCCTGCGGAAACCGGAATTCGTTGCAGTGCCGATGCCGCCAATCCCTTCTCCCCTCCCTTCAACAGAGGAGGCGAAATCGCGGTGAGTTGCACACCTTTGCATTGGCCTTGAGAAAAAAAGCTCAGAACAGCATATCTATCTACTTAGCGATGCTTTTAAAAAAATTCCAGAGGTTCTTCCCACGCACATTTTCCTACGCAACACCATCCAAGGTACCCTCCAACGCTCACAACCTCTTTCTGCAGGCACCTGTGGGCAGATACACTAGCCCTTAAACGTCTACTTGGAAAGCCTTGCTCCAGACAAGGACATAAGAAAAGTTACTCGGCAAGAAACTCACCTTGAGGAGCCGCTGGAGAGGACTTGAACGCTTTGGTTCCGTCCAATAATCGGTAACGCACATTTACCAGCAGTAGAAATTGCGTAATTGGTTGGGGGGTATTTGCGCGATTGAGTGTAAACTGTTCGGCGATTCGAGATCTGCTGCCTACTTTCTGTTTGGTTTATCTTGCTTGAACCGTATAATTATCGTAATGCATTGTTTGCAGCAACTTTCAGTCGATTAGTTTCAAGTAAGGACGCTCCAATTTGCAGATTTTTTCGCGAATTT